TGATGCGTTTTCAGGACATTCTGAAACGTGACCGTTTTTGACAAAAACGACATGCTATAGTATGACTTTTTTTTCTGCACGCCAAAACTCAAAACGACTTCTCTTTGTTTAATACTTTCCTGAGGTGATTTCTACGACATGCATTGAAGTATATTCACTATATACTACATCCTGACAGTTACAGGGTGTGTGCACCAGTTTATCTTCTGGGAATCAACACAAACAGCCTCTAGAACAATATATACTTTAGTGCTGCTTCATTTAGTTGACATGTTATCGGAGGTTTTGCTCTTTTAGGGCACAGCTGGTGAGAATGGAGAGGTGGAGATGGAAGACTTATCTGTAATCATTTTTCAGACACACAAATGTGATCTAGAAGTATTCTGACTCTTTACTTGATTAAGTACAAGTACTAATACCACTATGGAAACACTCCAGTTGAAGCTATTGCTTTTACTACAAGTCAAAGCCTGCATTTAAAACTAATACAATGCAAGTAAATGTATATAGGCCTTATCAGCATAATGAATAAGGCTTAATACTATAATGAAGTATTAATTCTGCAGTAAAATGTTCCATGTCTGTGTTTTATTATTATATATGATGTTTTTTTGATTGATATTACTGCTTCATTATATTTTACTGTTTAGGGTTCAAGTAAATTTAACTTTATGCACTGCTGCATAGTTTCATCTGCAGCAACGCATCACATTCTATAAGATCATCATGTTTGTAGCATCACTGTCTTGCGAGAACCACATATCTCTGAAAGGTCAGTTTTTCATGAGCTCAGAAAAAACCCCCAGCCCTGTTTACATCTTTGTGACATTTACTAGCTAATCCAAAAGGGGTTTAAATCTTATCTCAAAAATATTTCTCAACCCTTAAAGGAACACTTATCACTTGAGTTTATCACAAACATTCAAAATCATCACTTTGGGTGTTTTTCACTGGACAGAAAGCGTATAGAAAAATTAGAATCTGAAAAGTAATTAAAGCTGCCAGACAAGAAAAAATGGAAATACTCAAGTAAAGCACAAGTACCTCAGCTGGCAGTTAAGTAGAATACTTTAAGAAATACACTTATTTATATTCCACCACTAACACCCATAACTGCTCAAACTCGTTTGTTGTTTTTCTGGTGAGGAATGTTTAAAAGTCACATAAAAAGCATCAGTCTTCAAGAGGCAAAGAGATACTATAATTGCTGTAAAAAGCAACACAGTGAATGGGTACAACAAGCAGCCTTTATATGAAAACAACAAGTGCATTGTAAAAAGTGGTGTTTGTGTAATTTGAGCACCATAGAAAGTTATGTTCTGTTTGGTTTTTGTCGACATAAATGGTGCCGTTTTCCTGTAAATCACATGGAAATAGGTGATTAATGTCAGTTTTGGTTTTTCATTAGCCCTGAAAACTTCACATAGGAAAGTGAAAAAATCAGTTTGTGTCAATCTCTGGTTGAAAAATGAAGCCAATATAAAGAACCAAAACCTGCAGTTCCTCAAATGGCCACTTGAGGTAGGTTCCAAAAGTAAGTCAATCTCGATAGACCCCCACGTGAAAATATCCAACTTTACAGTGCAAATAAACATGTTTACAGCCTGGTACAGAAAACGGTTTTGGTCTCTATAGTTAATTCACCGGTTTATGACAACTGTACAGTTTGTGAATTTTTAACTAAATCATATCTTTAAATTGTATCAAGACTTAAAGTTTTGCATAATTAAGGATGTGGCTGCTTTAAGTGACTGGTAGTTCCATCATAGGACAATCGATGGCCCAGAGGTGATAGTGTGGCTCGCCTAAGTTCCACTCATGCTTCACTTCTTTGCTCAGTTTGGGATCAGCCAGGCGTAAAGAGGATGGAGGCACTGCCGAGATGGCGAGACGCTACCACGCTGAGCTTCAGAACACTGTTCAGGAAAGCCAGAGGGGGCATCGTGGTGGCTTTGTCCTTCTTTATACATAGTCTACACTTTCAACCTCGCTCATACGATTTTTTGGTCACACCTGCTTTTTTTTTTTTGCCACCACGTGAGTAAATTTCATTTGCCAAACCTGCTCTACCCTTTCAAGATCTGTTATCAGATCTGTTGCAATCTCATGTGTAGCCTTATGAAAGTTTAGCTCCTGAGGCCTGCACCAGCATGCATGCCAGTGTGTGACGAGGACATAGATAAAGCTGCTGATGATCTGACTGCTTTTAAACATGAAGTGTGTGTGTGTGTGTGTTTGTGTGTCTGAGTGTGTCTGTGTGTATTTAGGGAAACTTCAGTGTTGGATCCATCTCAGGCAGGATCATGATGCAGGAGCATTATTACACTGTCTGTCTGCTATTGATCTACCAAACAAAAGTCCCTTGTGTGCTTAGATATGGTGAGCTGATGATGTTTTAGTGGGAATCTGACTGCGCAATGGAAATATGAAGCCTATAACCACACACTAATGTGTTTGCATCCTCACTCTGTTTTTAACTTTTGGACATCCAGGGCATCAGTACCTCTCTGGCTGAGCGTGAGCTGTATTTACAGCTGCAGGAGCTGATGAGTAGTGCATTATCTGTTTACTTTGTGAAGTGGAAACTGCACACTTGACAATCGCAGGAACTAACGGCCAAACACTTTACAGCCCAGTTTTCCTTGCCAAGGCCTCCCCTGGTAGATTAAATGCTCCCCGAGATGCAATTAAAGAGGATGCAACTGTCTGAACCACAGACGAACCACCAGGCTCTTTTGCATCTTACTGCAGTTTTTTTTTCAAGTGTCAGATGTATTTTGGATGACACTTAATCTTAGTAAGCATGACTAAAAGTAGTAGTTTTTTTAGGAAGTAGTGAGTGAAAGGAAAAAATGCAACGAAAAAATGTCAAATTCACTTGGCTTTTATTCACATTTCATGTCTGTTGACATCTCAAATGCACCGTCCGTCCATACATTCTACTACTTTTCTGAAATGGTTGTTTTCTCCCCACCCTAACTTATAGAAACAGGGGGTAAGACCACCACCATCGCAAATAATAATAATAATAATAATAATAATAATAATAACAATAATAATAATAATAATAAAAGCAGCATTGAAAAAACAAGTTTCGATTTCTCTCTCCCTTCATCACCAGCATCTTTGTATTAAATTTACCTGAATATAACCATCAATGATCAGTTTAACAAAACAAACATAGAACTAGCTTGTGATAAATAAACATCATCATCATCCTCATCCTACCATCATCAGAATCAGACCCCACACTCACAAAAATAATAACAACAACAACAATAATAATAATAATAATAATAATAATGGAGGATACAAACTCAGAAGTAAAAAAAAAAAAAAAGTGACTCAAGCCTTTTTTTTTAGGAAAGAAAACACGATTGGTCTTCAGTGTGTGTATATGTGGTTGTGCATTGGTCATCTGCATCCTATTCTGAGTCAGCAATACATCTGCTACAGTCGCAGTAATATTCCTACATCCCGCTACAGTCTTTATTATAGATCCAGTGAGGCTGGATCTGCTCTGGTCCTGTTAGTTTGTGGTCATTAAGACAGTTGTGCGGAGAGCAGACAGATAGCGTCTGCTACCAGTGAGCTACAGCAGGGTGCTACAAACAACAGCAGGTGTCTCTTAATGCCAACAGCATGTTAGCACTAGATTCATGGCGGGCCACGACCTACAGCTCCGAGACACATTAGTACACTCCACAGATTAGTATGAAATACTTTGGTTGTGATCTGACATCATAATACATGATTTAGTGTCCTGTGAGAAACGCTCCCAGCACTATGAGATAGTACTTTAAACAACAAGCAGATTTGTCCTGTCTGGTCCTTTTGAAATAAAGCCTCTTTCAGACATGCAACTCATTACGTAGACGTCATTATGGTGACACTGAGTAACATTTGCACTTCCATGTTTTCTGCACAGCACAAATCTGGATCACATTAACTACAGTACCATGTTTGACTTTTCTCCTCATTATTTGCACACAATTTTCTTCTAAACATACAGCACTTTAGGTCACTTCAATTTGAGCTGGACAGTTTGGGGAAAATATCTGTGATTTTTCTGAGATATTGCAATTTCATTTGTGATGTAACTATTTAAAGAGACGCTTCAGTTCAGTATTCACTGCGTAAGACATTTAAAACTTGTCACATTACGGGGATGGCGTGAATTTGTAAAACCGCTGACACAACAGTTTAAACTCTGGGTCAGACGTGCTACATAACATATATCCTAAAATGTAGCCTTTGATAATCACGCTGTTTCACAATTTCAGTTTGAATTTGATTCGTGGTTCAGCTGTATTCCTCCTTCAGATCGTTCCTCTGACTGTAATACCACCTTTGAGCTGCTTGATTCTGGTCGGTGTTAAAGTCTGATAGGTTTTTGGGTTTTTAATTATTGTCAGTTACAGCTGATAAAACTACACCCAGACTGCTCTGATGACGCAGATATGCAAATGTTTACATCCTCAATCAAGTTGCGTATATTTCATGTCATAGAAAATTAAAAGATGTGACGCCAAATTTGAGGATATTCAAGAACACTTTAAGATACAGACGGGTGACAAACGCAAATTTCTATGCTTGTGCAGAATAAAATTAGTTATAAACGTTTTGAAATTGACAAGTGAGAACTTCTACACTGACAGTGATCATCAATTAAGACTTCAACGGGCAAAATTATACATTTAATATCACTGTTGCACTCTTTGTTTTTGCTTTGTATCATGACTTTAACTCACTGCTGCACCTGGTGCCAAATACCATGCAAGCAGTGAGAGTAAAGCCAATATAAATATCCCATGTTTGAATTTCAAAAAGCCAACAGACAGATGAAGACAGTAATGTTACATGTCTGAAAAGGACTAAGCTTTCAGCAAACGTTTGCATAAAGCCAGGAGGTAAGTTTGGCATACTGATTTCCTGTTTACATTCACCTTACAGCCATGTGTCGAGCTTCTCTGTATGCAGTGTGAGCTTTGGGTCGGGCCCCGCATCAATCACATTAACACATCATTAGTGCTAAAATCCTCTTGGACATGTAGACTCTGCAGGCTGTCACCTGTGCCAGTGGAAATCATGAGCACACACTATGCTATCCAACAATGATATGGTCACTGACTGCACGTCAGAAAGGCCTCCATGGATGGGATTAGTGTGCTTTCTGTGCGCTGTTTTCATTCTCGTCACTAGGTGGCGGTGGTCGTCTTGCCAGTCTCTTTCACCACTTTACCACACTGTGCCATTTGAGGATTCATTCTGGATGAGTGACACACTGATGGGATACCATCATTAATAATTTATTTCAAGTCCTAAATGAATGAAAAAGCAGCTCAAAATCCAAAAGAAGCTGGTGCTGTCCTGTCTTTTATTTGAAAGCCTGAACTCCCACCATATTCCTATCCGTCCTTTATAAATCCATGTGAGCCACGGGGCTCCCAGCGCGGACGTTCTTCCATCAACCGTCCCCTCTTTGCATCGTTAAATTAATTCTTTCGTCCATCCGTCTTTAGACTTTCTGGTGGTCTGTTTTGAGTCCTTGTATTCCCAGTTGGCTCTGCTGGTGTCAGTCACTGGTATTGGAGGTAATTTTTAAGGGACTGGGGCAGAGGGAGGCTCTCGATCTCCTGAAGCCGATCCCGACCCAACGCCAGGCGGGCCGCACGCCGACACAGGTCCATCAGAGGAAGAGGCTCAGCTGAGGAGAGAAGGAAAAAAGATGGGAGATTTTAGAAAGTTAGGAGAGAATAGTGGACATCTTTGAAGAAAAAAAAAAAAAAAGCACCCCAGAAAACAACCTGTGTAATGATGAAAGTGTATCACTTCTGAAAATGATGGCCTGTAACTGATTATTTCCAGGGTTTGCCCGTATGTTTGTGTTTATACTCGCACCACAGCCTTTTCTACATGCATAATACATCTTTCTATTTGCTGTGCATGAATGAATGAGAGAAAGGAGTAGATGGGTAGAGAGAGTGACGTTGCACATCTTTAAATATTTACACATTCTCCTCACACACGCCACCACCGACACCTGTTCTTAATATATAGTCACATTACTGACATACAGGGACATGTGGCATCCTGCCGAAGAAAATCGCATTTCAAGTAAACACTTGGATCATAAACACATCATGTCGAGCGTAAAGGCAGCTCAAATCTCTGTTTTTTTGTGTTATATTGTTACCTGGCCCTACACACTGAGAGTTCCTGGTCAACCTTTACTCTGACCTTCATTCTGAGATCAGGATAAAGGAGGTAACAGATACTGGAGGCTGCGGTCTGAACTGCAGGACGCAAAGAGCAGAGGAGGACACGGGATGGTGCTTTAGAAGAAACCTGTCTGAAAGGTGTTGTTGTTTTAAAGTTTCTGGTTCCAGCTTCTGAAATGTGAATATTTTTTGGTTACCGCAAGTCATATTTTATTAAATTCTATCCATTCTTTTTTTACATTGAGGACTAAGTATTTGTTCAAACACACAACATCTCTAATGGACATCATGACCACCCAAGTATGCACTATAATGGAAATGATAAAGGGCAGATCCAGTGTGTCCATCACAGCGCCACATAGTTCATGAGGTCAAAAACCGCTGGTGCAGAATTGGCTATGTTAGACCCTTTACTAACCAGAACAATAGGTTAGAAAATAGATTTTTATTTTTTCTCTAAGTCAGAGGAGAAAAACGTTGCATGCTAGATTTATTTTTAGTTCAGTGTAACGAAAAGAAAACTCTATAAGGATGGAAAATGTCTGAGTTGTAGTCACTACTTTTAATTCACATATACAAAACTTTAATAAAGCAGCTAAATGTATTTGCCACCAGTGCTTCACTGATAAACATGCATGGATGATATATGAGCTGAATGTAGCTTAGGAGAGAAGTTACAAAATAGTTGGGTTTTGACTGACAGTTTAATTTTGTGTCCTCTGATGTCTGAGCTGATGCTTGAAATTCCCGTCCACCTTTTCATTTTGTAGTTACATAGAAAAGTTTTAGGTAACACCTGATGTTTCATAAGCACAGCCTGCTTCTTTTTATGATATTAGCTGTAGTTAATTAATACCTATCCTGTAACAGCTAAAGCAAAAGTTTAATTGGTGTCTAATAAATGATCCACCTTTAGGTTGTTTGTACCACCACAGTTTATAAATCAACAAGATCAACAGAATGGAAAGTTTTGACAAGAGAGACAACTTTGCTGAGGTCAGGTTATGTAAAATATGTTATGCTTATTATATCACGATTTGGCACTTTGATCAAATAGTGTGTGTGTGTAATAAAGATGTAGAAGTGTGAGGTGTAAGTACGCTTCATCTCCTGTTTTAGTGTGTCATATTTAATTGAACATTTCACATCTTCTACCGCTCATTTCAATTTCAGATAAGCTGATATTCGATTAGACTGCCAAGTTGTGGATTCTACATTCTCAGACGACCATAATTGCAGATCATTTACCTGTGAATGTTGACACTACAACCATCAGTAAGAAGATATTCAGTTGCTATTAAATGCTTTCGAAAAACAAATCTACAAAGACATCACCGGATGCTGGTGAACAGAAAATGCTCAGAAATGCTTGTGATAACAAACGCCAGAAGCCATCATTGTTTACTGACCAGAAAGAGAGATTATTTCCCAGCTCTATAACGTCCCTGTCAGTGAATAACTTAATCCAGCTTAATGTTTGGGATCAATATATCACAAATATCAACATCAGCCTCAAAATGCAAACATCAGTGAAGCTACATTCTTAACCATTTCAATGAGCAGTGAAGAACAGGAAATGCTACTTAGGCTCTAACAGCTGTCTTCAAGCAAACAGTCAGTATAATGATGTGAATGAATTATTAATGGACATTAATAATTTAACTGATTAAAAAAACAAAAAAATAACCGGAAAGGCAGAAAATGAAGTGTCATAAAATGTACTGAGCATTAGCTATAGTACCTGGGTGCACCACTAGGTGAAGCCTCTTAATATTTAAGAAAGCAATGAACTGCAGTTTGTTTGTGTTTGATACTGTAGCAACCCGCAAAGGACTATGGGCAGTGTGGAGGGCATAGTTAGCAACAGGCCACCATGACAAAGACCTCTGTGGTGGTTCATGCATTCTGGGCCAGAGCTCACATCGTAAACATGGGCTCTACGAGGAGAGCAAATGTTAAGTCTGTGGTTGTAATGAGCTCTGTCAGGATAGAGAATAATTAGGACTGTACCAAACTCACCCGAATTATTAATCATTAACACTTCCAACTATTGGTTATGACAACTGTTTAAAGTTTGCATCCCTACTCCAGATTATTCCGTTTATGATTTATTTTGCAGCAAAGTTACACATCAAGTCACGAGAAGATGCTGGTGGAGAAGGATGTGGCTGGTATCTGGATGTTAAAAAAAAATTGCTATCAAATCTGGATGACTCATTTTCAGTTGGATCATATGGGGTCTAATGTGATTTTTGAGGAAGCTCTGACATTAAGGTTTTATAGAATCAAACCCAGTAAACAAACAATAAATAAACATCCTCCTAATCACTTTAACGGCAGTTTTGAACCCTTTGTCCTTCTCCCCTAATTGAGTGTTAACAGCTAGGCCCACGGCTTCCTACACATGGATTTTATAGTATCATCAGTTTTGTTAACAGTAATGACCACATCTGATTGGCCTGATTACACAGCACAGCAGAGTGAGAGGGAGGAAGGGGACACGTTGTGAAAATGAACTCTATAATACAACAACCCATTAGGCTCCTCAAACTCTTCCATCTGAGGAAACATTCACACAGTCAGGCACATACTGTATGCACCATGGTTTATTGCACTGCACTGTACGTGTGACAGTCTTTGAACTTATTGACCCCCCCGCCCGCCAACACAATGGCACCCAACCATCAGCACATCAACTGGAAGAAAATTCAGGGAAATGGGGCAGAATGGCAACAGTGGAACTCATTCAGATGGAAAGGGGGGTGGGGGGAGAAAGAACTGTGAAAAATGAGGAGGGACGCAAAAGACAGGTTCAAAGTCAGGGACAATGTGTACCTTTAGTGGAAAAAAAAATAATAATGGAGATTCTATTCAAGATAATGTCTTTATTGTGAAAAAACAAACTTCAAGGTGTTAAGTGCTTTGAGAGGATTCAGTGTGACATTAAAGCTCAGCTCGGCTATCTGTCTGTCTCTCCCTGCTGTTTTTGCTGAGGGAAAAAAAAACCCCACTGCCATCACCTCTTGTAATTCTGGACGTCCTCTACCACCTGCCTCTGTAGCTGTGTGTGTGTGTGTGTGTGTGTGTGTGTGTGTGTGTGTGCATGTTCTAGGTATCACTCATGGGGACCTGCATTTGTGCACAGGGGCAAAAAACAGGCCTCTATAATGTACATCATACAATTTTAGAGTTTAGGTTAAAGTTAGGATTAGGCAAGTGGTAGTTAGAGTTAAGGTTAGTCTCCATGAAATGAATGTAAGTCAATGTAAAGTGTTCATGAGTGTGTTCAAGGTTAAACTAACAGGACAGAAGGACAGCCCAGCCTCTACATAAAACACTCACGTTTACGCCTCATGAGTCTCCTTGCAGAGTTAAGTGTCACATTAATGCTCATCCAAACTCACTGAAACATCAGTTTTTCACTTGTGCACAGTCACAGTGGCATGACGCCAGCGTTGGTTCACACTCTCACCTCTGTTTGACTCTCACTTATGGTGCCATTATGGGAGATGTTCTCATCAGTAATACAATATACTGTGGATGAATGGCGTTGTGTTGTGGCTGAGTGGCATCGACATCAGATACAGTGAAACTGCAGACAAGTAATTCACACAAATTGCAGTGTGTGTGATAGGGATACTGAGGTTGCAATGAATGGTTATCTTCATTCTAAATTAATCAGCTGATTGTTGTTGTTGACTATTGCTTGACAATTGTTGTCTGTAAGACGTCAAAAATAATTTTAAAAGTGCTTTACAGTTTCTGAGAGCTCAAAATAATGTCCTCAATTTGCTTTTTTGTTCAGCCAACACACAAAGGTATTTGATGACAATAATTTGAGAAAGTCGAAATTCACAAACATCGAACAAGCTGTAATAAGAAAATGATTAACTTTTTTTTTTTTGGCTTGAGAAAAAAAAAAGCTTCTCAAGCACAAATTGAATACAGGAAAACCTGATAGCACACAATATTTAAAATCATTTATGATAGATATCATTACAGGTGATTTGAATAAGTGTTTAGATGTGTTCCCACTGAAGGCTTACCTCTTACTACTAAATGTAACATTTGTTTGACTTATTACCAAATACCACAGAGAAATTAGTTTCAATTTCGTATTTAAAAGTATCCATAAAACATATCAGAATAGTTTATTTCTCTACTACTGCAATGTAGATGTAGTCTTCAGACATCAAATAATTTAAAAACCATTAGAAATAGTATGCCTTAGTCATAACTGTAACAAAAGACAAAAAAAAAATAAAAAACTACATACTATATGTTTACTCAGTACTAGAGTTTATATAAGGAGCTATTAGCCTATATTAGATAATGATGTGATAATATTATGGTTGTTAGGCTGTTGTTTTGTGTTGTCACTGTGCCTGCGTTTGATTAGTGTGTGTGTGTGTGTGTGTGTGTGTGTGTGTGTGTGTGTGTGTGTGTGTGTGCGTCTGCTTTAACCACCTCCAGGAATAATGGGAGT